AGTCTTAGGCCTGGAAGCATTTTTAAACGGCCTCTATTTTGTTTATCAGCCAAATAACAAAACAAAACCCAACAACTTAAAAGGTAAATCTTCCCATCTTGTGCTTCCTGAGCATTCTAAGAGTATGACAAAGCAAGTATTTATACACTGTAATGCACTAAGGTCAATGAGGCTTTTCTGGAGTACAGCCATTTACAAAAGAGACCTGCTGATGACTTGGAACAAAGTGCCTCAGAGGCCAAATATGGCCCTGCCTAACAAAGGAAGTGGCACTTAGAGTTTCAACTCTGCCTTTGCTATCATCTCTCAAATCGTAGCACATATAAGGATGGTTCAAAGAAAAGGCCATCCTGGCTTTCCTCTTGTAAGAAAGGAATTGTAATCCCTGTAGCTGTCACATGCCAGCAGAGGATGCAGGATGGAGGGCCCTTTTTGTTTGCATTGTCCGGGACCTGTAATATTAGAGGTCTGGATTTGGGTTTGTTTTCATTAAACCCTTTTGAAGTGTGCAAACACTTACATGGGCACTTACCATTCCTGGTCACTATGCAATACTTGAAATGATAATTCTTAAATTCAGGTATGATAGTGATATTTACCAGGAATAGATGCTGACTTGCAATATATATTCTGCAACAAGATACATAGGAAACCTGTGGGAACTGTAGCCTATCCTGAGAGATTGGCCAGGATCATTTAGGATTGGACAGGACTTTAAAGACCAGGGGTTCTTAACCTTTTTTTTTCCCTATCATGGACCCCTTTAGCAGTCTTGTAAAGTCTATCTACCACTTCTCAGAATGTTATTAAATGCATAAAATAAAATACATAGCATTACAAAAGAAGTCAATTATATTGAAATATAGTGGGGGCAGTTAGGTGGTGCAGTGGATAGAGCACTGGCCCTGGAGTCAGGAGGAACTGAGTTCAAATCCGACCTTGGACACATAACTAGCTGTGTGATTCTGGGCAAGTCACTTAACCCCGACTGCCTCACCAAAAAGCAAAAAGAAAAAAAAAGAAAAAGAAATTTTTGGTTAGCAAAATATTTTTAAAATAAGTTCATGGACTCCAAAATAAAAATCTGTAAACACCATTCCCCCTTGTTTTTTCAGATGAAGAAACAAACTGAGAAAGGTAAGGTTACTTGACAAAACTTACACGAGGTTTAGGAGGTAGCAGGATCTAGATTCGAACCTATGGCCCCTGACTACAAATCGAGGGCTCTTTTGACTACTCTGTAGTCTTTCCTAGCAACTCCTTTTCTACCCTCCCTATTGAAGGCACCTACTGCTGGGGGCAGAGGGGTAAAAAGCAGTTTAATACTTCAACTGAACACACCCTGTCCCTTGGCCTTCTGATCTCGTTCCCTTCCCCTTTCCTCTGCTTTAAATGCTGTTAAAGGAGAAAGAAGTCCAAGCCTTGACAACCTCCATTAGCACTCCTTTTCTCCCTCTTTACCCTCTGCCTCTTTGGGAGCTGCAACCACCTCTCTCCAGGCCCTCTAGACCTGTGAGCAGCTAGAGGAGAGGCAAGAGAGTAAAAGTAGGAGCTAAGCCCAGCGGCTTACAAGTTTCCAAAGCACTTTGCATCCAGTTCATTAATAATAATAATGGCCAATACACTGAGTTACACACTTCATAATTATTCATTCATTTCATCCTCACAACAACCCTGGGAGGCAGGTGCTATTACAGATGAGGAAACTGAGGGTCAGAACAGTTAAATGACTTGCCCAGGATCAAATAACTAGCAAATGTCAGACGTGTCACAAACATCCCCCAGCATAAGCATCAGATCCACTTCACAAAAGAAACAGAGTATGATAATAATAGAAAGAAAAGACTGGGACGAGTGGGGTTGGGGTGGGAAGAGAGGGGATGGTAAGTGGTAGGGAGCTGATATTCCCCTAATGATCCATGCCTCTGGCTCCCCTGAAGGAGCTCAGGTTTCCCTCATGGATTAACTAAGACTGTAATAACTTGAAAGGTTTTGTATCAGGCTTCCATCTATTTTATGGGAATGGATCAAATACTTCCTACCAGCACGTAAACTCAAGCAGGACTTGTGTAAGTTTATTTGAGGTCATGGCATTTTCTTTTCCCAAGCTGGCATGATATTACAACACACGTGGGATGGTGAAGAGCATGTCCCAGAGAAGATAAATGCCTAACGTGGAGACCAAGTCTGGGTGCAGCTCTTATAAGGAATAGCACTATTAGCAACAGGAGAAAAAACAGACTGGGAAAATGCTGAGGATGTTAAAAAAAATACTGAAAAGAATGGCTTTGGTTGAAGATGTTGGTATAATACCTTAATAATAAATGTGATTGAATTTTTAATAACAAGAGAAAAAACCCTGGTTCACAAACAGCACTCTCCAGGGAGCTTAGAAATTAATCCTCTGATGGGATGAAGTTGTCACTATTATACATTCTAATTATAAATACATATTATTTTTAATAATGCATCCTAACTCTTTTATTAGGGACCAAGACTGGGGCTTTCTACTTTCTAAGGTATAAATCTCACAAGTCTTATGAGAACTGAAAAATATAAGGGAAAATTTGTATAAAAGGCTGAATGATGAAGAAGAATGAGTACATTGGGCTTTGATTTGAATCCCTGACACTAGCTACATGATATAGCTGAGTCACTTAATCTCTTTGAGCCTGTTTCTTCATCTGAAAAAAAAAAGTAGCTAATAACCTCACAGGGCTATTTTGTTTGTTTGTTTGTTTAGGCAACTAAACAAACTATAGAAATGGTAGCTGTATTTAGTTGTGAAGATAATCATTCATCTGTTTAATGGTTTAATTTTTATTTTATTTTATTTTAGTGAGGCAATTGGGATTAAGTGTCTTGCCCAGGGTCACATGGCTAGTTAAAGTGTTATGTGTCTGAGGTCGCATTTGAACTCAGGTCCTCCTGACTCCAGGACATGTGCTCTATCTACTGCACCACTTAGCTGCCCCTAAAGGTTTAATTTTACAGTGGGAGAACAAAGTCGGGGAAAGTACTAGTTTTAGAGTCAGAGAGCCTGGGTTTGAATGCTGGCTTTGTCTTATCCTACCTGTGTGAACTTGGGCAGTCGCTTAAATTCTCTAGGCCTTCTTTCCCTACCTATCAAATGAGATAATTGGATTAAGATGATGTTTATGGTCCCTTTTAGCTTTAGATTCATTCAGTTCTAGCATATACTGAAATCTCTGGATTGTTCTAAATGTGTATTTTTAAATATTCCTCTCCTTCAGCTTTTGAAGACTAGTTAACATTCATGCCAGATTATATTCCTAATGAGATTGATAGAGCTTCAGATCTTTCCCCCTTGATAATGCTGGACACTGTCCTTCTCAACCTTAACCTCTCCCTTTTCCTTTTTCTTCACTGTATTCTCTCTTACTTGGGCTTTGATTACCCAAGTCAGACTGACTACTTGTATTCCTGATCCAAATTCCTTTGGGGGTCTCTTCAGGATGCTTTTCTTCCTAGTTTGAATTTAACAGCTGCTTGAGCAAATTCATCACTGTCTATTGGGAATTCTTCATTTGATTGTTACACATGCTCTGAGCATTCCTATCTTTAAAAAACTATTACTATGATTAACCCATTTTTCTATTTTTAGTACATTTCTAGGATCCTTGAATGCTACAACAGCATAGAGTCTAGTTTTTCTGCAGTTACCTGATAGGTCAGAATCCCTTCCACTTGACTTTGAGCCTAATACTCCTTAGATAAATTTCCTGAAGGCATTTAATCATTTTTGTTTGCTGTTGTTAGCCAAGTAGAATGGCCTGGAATCTGTTTTGATTTTGTATGTGCTTTGGCAACATCAAACACTTGGCATTTCCTCGTGGTTAATCAGTTTAAGGCTTTCAGAGACTGAAATCAATCTAGTTTGGGCTCACTCTCTTTTCCTCTTACATGGTAAGAGTAAGGTTTTAAATGTGTAGAAACCTCAGGTAATGGAACTAGGCTGTTTTTTCTTTCTGTGGTCCCTGGATTTTGGTTTCTTTATTCAAGCCTTGACTGTCATGTTTCTTGTGATGGCACAGACACCTGAGAGTCATTCTTTAACATTTCTGTCTAACGGCAACCACATTTCTAAGTATTTAACAGGTCTCCATCTGGAGACCACATAATTAACTAAAAATGTTCAAAAGAGATGTGATGTCAACTGGGAATTTCTAACCTATATGTATTTCAGAAATCTCTCAGGACTAAATACTGACAATATTTTGCCATTTCATCTTCTCTGCCACCTCCCCCCTCCCATTAAAGTCATTATCAATTTTTACCCACTGGTTCTGAAATTAAACACTCTTTCTGATAGTAATCTGCTGCCTTCCTCCTCTCTTCCACGGCTCTTACTTAGGTTCAAATTAGGTGACATGTTAGATTTTTTTTTCTTTTGTGCTCTCTCAGGCTGAAATGAATGTTATTTAAAGTGCTGAACAAGTTACCTACTAACCTGAGGATTAGGCCTAAGCTGTTAGTTCTGGTACTTAAAATTCTTCAGGCACTGACCCTATTAAAACAATCTCCCTTTATCTGTACATATGCCCTTGAATTTATTTATTGACCAATGGCAGTCTTCTTGTGATGTGATTCGGGCTCACTGCCACGTGGCTCTTTTCCAACTGGCTCCCATCTGGTAGAACATTCTATTGTTTCAAGTTATGTCAAGTGAGCTGTTCAGTGTGCTCTTCACGCTGGCTTTGACGAGCTTCACTCTGCTAGCTGTTCCTGCTGAATATCAGTTCATTTAGCACACAAAGTCCCATGTCCTAACTTCAGTAAGTGATTCAGGGGCCTCAAAGTCAACATTTTAGGCTCTCCAAGAGGTTTGCCAAGTCTCTGACTGAAATGCCTCACTCCTGGACTGGGACATTCATGTTTGGAAACACTCATGTCCCTAATGGGGAAAGTCATGTTACTCAAATAACCTTCAGGATCATCATGTCATTCACAGATTATAAATTCAATAAACACCAACTGACCTCTGTGTATGTGCGCCAGGGACAAGGAAGCAACATGATGAAGACATGAATTCCAGGCACTGAAAATGTCCTCCTTCTTGATCATTACCTGTCAAATTGACAGAAGGAAAATGGCTCCTTAAATAGTTGAGAATTTCTTTTTTCTTAAAACTATTGCTGCTACCGGAATAATATATGCAGATAGAGCAGAACTAATTAGCTTAGTTAAATGTCAATAGAGAATCTCCCAATTCTGAACAGGCAGCACAGTGCATAAGCTGCTAGTCCTGGAATTAGGAAGGTCTGAGTTCAAATCCAGACATGCATTGCTTTAGCTATGTAGCCCTGAGCAAGTCACTTAACCTCTGTCTGCCTCAGTGTGCTCATCTATAAAATAGGTAAAATAATAGCACCTACCTTCCAGGGTTGTTGTGAGGATAAAATGAGATAATATATATAAATCATTTTGCAAACCTTAAAGCTCTATATAAATGCTAGCTTTAGTAGGAGGAGGAGGAGGAGGAGGAGGAGGAGGAATTATATGTTGCCATAGTAAACAATAACAATATCATTCTGGGGCATGGGTTCTTGGGAGCAGCTGTTTGATGGTTGAATTAACTGACTTCAGACTAGTTCTACCTGTTTGTTAACTGTCCCAACTCAGGAATTGGGCAATTTGTCATCCAATTATTCTGTACAAAGTGCCATCTTAATCATGTGGATCAAGACTTCCAGGTGTCATTCATTCAAAAAAGACTTATTGAGTGCCTGCCTGCTATGCAAGGTGCCATAATAACTGGGGTAGCAAAAAGGGGGAAATGTGAATAGAATAGATAAAACCAAAAGATACATAAAGAAAGGGAGAGATAAAACCACAATCACTAGTGTAAGTTAAATATCCTCTGGAAGTTGCTGGCTGATCCTTAAATGAGGCAAATAGTCAACAGACCTGAGAACAAGAGAGTTAAGTTTGGAATTTCTAACTCTGTACCTTGTGACTTCCTATGACAATCCCAGGAACCTAGCATTAGGTTTATGTATTCAATCTAAATTGAAGAGTCTACTACATGTGAAACAGCATGCTTGGCCTTACAGATACAAATGCAAAAATGAAGTAGTCCCTGACCTCAAGGAGCTCACAGTTTACTAGGGATATAAAAATGTTTGGCCTGCGATATTAGTTTCTTTTTCATTAAGAGGAGGGCAGTTGAAAGTGAATGGGCATGTAGGAATTGTTTGGTTCTTGCTCTTCTATTTTGCTCAATGCTGTTAATTGTAAAGGGTGTAAGAATTAAAGAGAAAACCTGTTTTCTTGCATTTTTGTGATTTCTGCAGCATGGCTGATGCAACACCTTTAGAAAAGCCCTAGGTATAACTGAGGTGTCTTTGTGTTCTGATGAACTATAGTACCATTTTTAAGTCTCCAGTATATGTATAATTTAGTATTACTATGTAAGGTAGGTGGAACAGTTTTGAGGACAATGTCATTGTTTCCCCACAAGTCACTCTCTACTCATGACCCCTTATGTTAAAGTAGAGGGAATGATTATCTCTGTCATTGCCACTTGGATAAATATGGTTCCCTGTGTCACCAATTAAAACTAAAGAAGAAAGGGGAAGAGAAGTTGGCCACTTAAGTAACTGGCCTGCAAAACACATTGGCAGATGGGGGTAACCTGTGGTTGGCTACCAATGCTTTTTGAGTTTGGAGAAAGAGAACCTTGACATCCCCATCACATTTCTCAATATAATACTGGGAAATTCAAGCTTGTGGTCAATTAGAAATGTCTCGCCTGAGAATATACTTTCTTAATTTGCTGCTGCCAAACTGGGGGTGGGGGGTGAGGGTAAGAAGGGACAAGAATAGAAAAGGGGTAGTATATATGAGAGACAAGGAATGAAAAAAAAACCTGTTCAAATGTTTCCAAATAAAAACAGGAGACTTTTTAACTCAGTTTGCAGGATGAGCTTTCACTGGACTGACCATGAGAAAATTAGCATCAGGAGAATTGCCTAGGGAATGCAGAACACTGCCCGGGGAAGGGGCTTCAGATGGGGAAACTCTACCGAGGTCAATAACATACTGAAAGCTCACTGACTCCATCCCAAGAAACAGTACAAGGAGAAAAAAATGTTCCAATTAAGGGCAATGGCCTCATAAAGGCCAGCCAGTCGTTTTCTAAGTGCTTTTCCTTATACGTTAACATCAATATTCTTTAAGACCCCACTCAAGTTGATTCAATATAACCTCATCAGGGTTGGCAATCATCCATGTGCGGTCATGAAAGCAGTCATTACTCAGTGCTGGAGAAGGGAAAGAAAGGCTTGGCTCTTACACTAGGTTTATGCTTGGCTAAGATGATCCCTATTGCACAGGGAGGCTACTGACAGAGAAATTGGACTGTCCCTTGAGTTCAGCTCTGTCTACAGGCAGCGAACAAATGCCTGTAGGCAATCCATACATTTTGGTCTTGACAACCGATGTGGATTGCCATGTGATTGATTTGGCTCTGGTAGCCCATGCCAATTGGAAAGTGGATCTAAAGGAATGGGTCATCATGACTACTGTCTGGTTTCATTCCACATAACCTCACTGTGTATTGCTAGCTGTAGTTCTATTACAATTAAGGGACTGTGTATGTGAGGCCATCAAAGTAGTTAAGTATATAAGAATACATGATACGTGTTATTGGTGAAAACTTCCAACGTTTAGAAAAGGAGAACAAAGGCTTTTAAAATTCAGTATAGGCAGACGTTGCTAAAACAATAAACACTTCAGTGGATATGTAATGTCATCAGTGTGGATTCTCACCCTCCACTCACATAGATGATAACTTATTTATGCCCTTTCAATCTATGTGATTGTGTCTTTCCACAAATACTCCTTAAAGAATCCATTCAACATGGTGAAGGACTTCTTCTGGTTCTTATAATATGTTGAGGTTACCAGATCAGTGCTTGGACTTCTTTGTCTGTTATCTTTCCTAAATACATGCTGGACCCTCCTCCTTTGCCCCTTATGATATGATGTCTTTTATGTCAGGACTTGTATACAAGTTAGCATTGTTTATATAGTGCAATCTGCTCATCTCCATCATGCATCATTCCATTGCTCTGTGGGTCATCTACGAATGGAATTCATTTGAACTGATGGTGCTCTATGATCTGCAGCCATAACTTAGAAAATGCTGGTGGTGAGCTTTTGTGGAAGCGAACAGCTTGAAATCACTGAAAGAGCTCCCCAGTTTTCCAGCTAACATTCAACCTAATGTCCTTCTATCCAATTTTTGGCCTTGCTAATCATTCAGCTATAGCACATGCCTATGATGTAGTTGTTGATGGACTAACTCCATGGGTTGTCTGCCCAACTTCATGTCATAATCTTGGCAACATGTATTCTTCACCTCCTTTATTTCTCCTTTGTGTACGACTAGATTGATTTTTTAGGGGTGACCATAGATCTCATGCAGAAGACTTTGCAGTGTTTTAGAGTTCAGTGCAACCAAAAAAACAAGACAGTCGCCAGAATCTGTCAGTAGGGAATTCATCTTCTTAGGCTTCTTACAAAATTCCAAAATGAACTAGAAAGAGTCCTGAATTCTTTGTTCAAGAGAATGTCTTTGATAAGCATATGTCATCCTGTTGGATACCTTGCTTCATACTGATATTTAGTGGATCATTGAACAAAGTGACTGTAGTGATCACACCTCACATGGAATTTTACATGATTTTACCATGTACATGGACTATGTTTTATTTGAGGAGAGTTTACACATATTTTGCTCTACCAAGTTCTCTCTGTCTCTGTCTCTCTTTGTAACTGACAAACAGTAGACACAGTGAAGCAGGGAGGTGATAGATGTGAATCCTTAATTCTTTAATCTTTAATTCTTCACATTTATGAGCAAAGATGTGGTCTGCTATACAAAGCTGTCTACAAAAGTTTTATTTCTTTCTTAGATTTTCATCCAAAATATCCTTGATGTCTGCATAGACCATTCTCATAAAGATTTACAGAATTTTTTTTTGAATAGGCACAGGAATTGGAAGTTTTAGATGTCTTCTTTTGGTAAGAAAACTTGTTTGTGATTCTTTACATTGTTTTGGAATCTCTGGCACTTGGAGATGTCATGAATGTCATTAAAATTTTTTTGCCACAGGGTGGGATTTTTAGATACATCTTTGTTCTGGTCCATCAGTTCTCATCTGCATCTTAAATGCCATCATCACTTCCTCTCATTGTTCATTAGGTACTAAAGTGGTAGAATCCAAATGCAGTGGTTTCCTTTCCATTGCTGATGAGGCTAGGTCACTATAGAAACACCACTATACCTGCTCTGTCTCACTTTTATTTAATGTCTTCATTCTAGTTTCTTCTGTAAATGTTCTCTACTAGGTGTAGTTTAGCTATCATGCCAAGATCTCTAGGGCCCCATTTTCCCTATAATGCTTTTTATTGCTTTGTGATATTGTTTATTTTTTCTACCCTTTCCTACTTTATGATGTTTTGCATATAAGCTTGTACCCTAAACTGGCATTGCCACTGGACGACATTTACTTATTCTTAACAAGATCAAATGTTTGATGGCTGACAGAGTTTCTGGGATTTTGGAGGAGTTGTGTTGTGTCAACTGTTTTACATCAGCTAGACTTTTTGATGAAACAATGATAATCAAAATCACTGTCTTCACTTTTGTCCATTTTCCAGTTTTGGAGTTGACAGCTTATTTAAATAGGTGGGGTTAAAGTTACTATAATCATATGTGACATCTCCCCCTTACATTTATTCTTTTGTTTCCAATTTGGTATTGATTTTGATCTTTGCTATAACCATTCCCTGATCTGACTGAACAAAGGAAGTAGATTTTGAAATGATTACCACATCAGTAACTAGTCATTGTCTGTCTATTAAGGTACAATTATTTTCATCTTTTGGTTAATGTTGTTTTATGTTTTCACATCCATCACCTCCCTATTGTTTCCTTGAAGACAGTATTTATGCTAGACAGCTGTGATGCTTTTACATATGAGGCCTTTGGCTTCTTTCATTTCTTTTGATCCCCAACGATACTTCCAAAGTGACTTCTGCTCCTCTCCTATGCCTGCCTT